GTGGGGCCCCCGGCCGCGCAGCTTTCGCACCCGGGGCCCGGCAGGGGGGGGGGGGGGCGGGGGTGCCCGGCTCGCGGGGAGGGGGGGGGGGGGGGGGGGCTTCCTGGGGGGGGGGGGTACGATTCTGAGGAGCTTTTTGTCTCGCCGTAAATGTACGTGTGGGGTTTGTGTGTGTGTGTGTGTGTGTGTGAATTTATATTTTATATATATAGAATATACAATACATACATACACATACACACACACACACACACACACACAGAGGGCGCCCGCAGTTGCCCTGCGGTAAGAGGGGTGGCCAGTAAATTCAATGACAGGCATACCTGACATGATCAGGGGTGTCCAACCTTGGCAACTTTTAAGATTTGTGGGTGTCATTTCCCAGAGCTCTTTGGCTAGCCAGGGTATGATGGGGATTGAAATCCACGCGTCTTAAAAGATGCCTGGTAAGTAGGTAAGTAAGTAGATAGGTAGGTGGATGGATGGCTGGATGGGAGGGTAGGTAGGTAGATAGATAGAGATGGATGGTTGGATGGATAGATATTGAGGGAGGGGTGATAGGTGGATGGATAGTAGACAGATAAACAGACAAGATAGGTACATTAGATTGGTTGGTTGATTGATTAATTTTTGGGATGGATGGATATAGAGATAGGTAGACAGATGGTAGGTATGTAGGTGGATGGACGAATGGATATAGAGATAGATAGATAGATAGATAGATAGATAGATAGATAGATAGATAGATAGATAGATAGAGTGACAGACAGACAGATAATCTGTACATATATTGGCCATAAAAACTATTGTATGCATGGGCCAATGCAGTTTATTACATTTATATGCCACCCTCTCGTTATTGAGCAACTCTGTGTGTATATATGTATCATATATGTGAGTGTGTGTGTGTGTATAAAATATCACATATTCATATGCATTCACATACCACACATACCACATAGTATATATCAAACCACATGCACATAATACATATATGGAACCATAGATACAATGTTGTGGGTATATGTAATGTGCTGTTGGAAAAAGATTGCAGCACATTGCAAGTGTACCCCATCTGGGGAAGTATTTAGTAGATTTAAAGCAGTTTAAGGTCAGCCTTTTTTTTATGTCGTTGGTATCAGCCTCAGGTCAGTTAGCACTGCCTGGCTTAGAACAAACCCTAAATAAGAGCTACTTTCCCCCTCCCGTTGCACTGAGTGGGCCCTTCTCTAGCATTTCCAGTCGCTAAATAAAACCTTTCCACCTTCCAGATCATTTTCACCTGCAGTCGGAAAGCTTGATCAACCCCTTAATGCAAGCCATTTCCCATCAACACTACAAGGTCCGTGTTGCTGTCATTCATGCCACAGGGTCCGTGATCCAATTCGGCAACGTCAAATCGCTGGATGATGTGCTTTCTCACCTCGCCCAGCGATGTTTTGATGACATTCCACAGGTAACGTTGGCCAGAGTTTAAATTCACTACTTTTTTGTAAACTCAAGTGTCTTGCTGCAAAATCATTTGATTTGGATGGAATTGCAAAATGCATGATACATGGTTTCTTTCTCTCTACCCCTCATCCCCCCACTACCCGCTCCCCGGTTTTTCATTCAGGTCAGAGAGGCTGTTATAAGCGTTGTTGGTGAATGGCTGTTGCACCTGCGGGATCGCTATTCCTATTTCCATAAATTAATCCCTCTCTTACTCAGTGGCCTGACTGATGAAATGCATGAGAATAAGTAAGTCAAACTCAAACTATTTTACACTAACAGAGCTCTTGTCTATGAGGATGGTCAGGGACGTCAAAGTACCAAGCACAATTGGGCAATTGAATTCCCACCCCTTTTTAAAATGTGTCGCCTCGCACACTTGTACAAAAAAAATAAAACATCAAATTGCCCTGTTGTATCTGCAAAGATACCTCTATACCAGCTGTTTTTTGGATGTCTTGGATAGCAACTTCCAGAATGTTTAGCATGAACAGACTGGATGATACAACATGTGTGAAATTAAACTTGTATGCAGACGTTAGAGCTCTTGCATTGAGCAAAGAATTAACATCTTTCAGCCTTGTCTACCTAACATCGACAAAAAAGAAAATATGGAAGATTCCATACCGTCAAAAACCCTGTGCAGTTGTGAAGAAGCATTCTTGTATATGTGTAGTCTTTGACTTAAAAGCACAATTGGGACTAGCTTTAATCAGAAATCACCTCCAAGGAATGGGTTCTTTTTTAAAAAAACGTAGCAGATTTAGTTTCTTATGCAACCATTTTTTTTTAGGATATGTATTTTGCATAGAATTGACAATATTTGTCATCATTTTGCTTTGTGTTTAGGGAGCTGGCTTTAACTTACTGGAAGAAAGTGGGGTTGCAGTGGGAAAAAGAAAATGAAGATGATATTAAGGATAAACTCGATTTTTATACTGAGCCTTCTTATTATCCACCAGAATGTGAGTACAGTGTAAAATGCTCATAGTGCAAATTTTACTTTTTTTTTTTTTTTTGCAAATTACTTCCCCAAGGTTTTATTGTATAACTTTTAAAAATAGGGCATTTGGAATATTTTCAAGAGAAAATATAAAGTAAGATACAAATAGAAGGACTTTTGGAGTTTCTCATTCCCTTCACAAATGAACAATGGTTTCCTTAAGATAGCCCTGTCAGTTTGCACAAATTTAATCTAAAATCTGTCCAGTTGAGCAGGTTTTTTAATGTTATGCACTTTCTTAAATACTGTATTTGCCCCAGCAAATACACCCTAACTAGAAGCCCCACAGATTACCAGAAGATTGATCAACAGATTAACATTTTGCTATTGTTAAGGAACAAGCCCTGTTATAATCTGCTACTTTTCAATCTATTTATTATTTACACTGGGGTTTGATTTAGAAGCGTTGTGACATTCTTAGATTATATCTCCAGTAACAAAAGTTAACAGATAATTGTGTGGTCTATTAGAAATTTGACCTAGTAAATTTGCACCCCCTTCTCTTAAGAATTTTCAAATTGTTTTCTGATGCGGTTCTTGTTCTCTATGTTAAAGATGTGGCAGATAAGCCTTCCATGGTAGGGCAGGTTTTTTGGCAAATGTGCCAGAGTTCAAGACTAAATGTGAAACAATATTGCTTTCGTGGTCACTTCAGTATATCAGCATGCTATATATTATAATATACATATAAGTTCATTGAGAAGCTGAATCCTAACATGGGACAATATTGCTGTCTTCCACTTTCAAGATCTTTTAAATTCAATTTGTATTACTGCTGCTGTTAGTGTCCTTACATCTTCCTCCCAGACTGAATTGGAAAACGAGCAATTCTTTAAGTAACTGGAGAAAGACAAAAGGCCTCTAAGGAAGGCTGGGGGATTAGGCTTCCATTTCACATATCTTCTCATGCAACCAGAAGATAGCCGAAGTTGGATGCGAGAGTGTGTTTGCGTTCACTTAAGAGTCTCATTTATGGCTTTGAAGTTCAGAAGCGAAATCTACAGTCCAATGCTTGAAAGCAGCTGGCTTTACCCATATTTAAAAAATACAATTCGTCTTCCATCCAGCTGCCAGTAGTTCAGTTCTCAGCAGCTCCAGGTCGACTCAGCTTTCTATCCTTCCAAGGTCGGTAAAATGCAGACCCAGATTGTTGGGGGCAAGAGGCTGACTCTAAACAGCTTAGAGAGGGCCGTGAAGCACTGCGAAGTGGTATATAAGTGCTATTGCTATTTTACTTTGGTTTGGGGGCCAGTACAAAAAAAAAAAGTCACAGAAAGTCAGGTGCAACTTAACTTGCCTATTAATGTCGTTTGTGCTAATTTTTCTGCCCTTTGATTCCACCTGGATTTCCAACATCTGCCTCTAACAACATATTTTTTAATCAATCAGCTGTTTGTTTAGTGGATTGGGAAAGAGCGAAGTCTTCTACCTCTAAAAGGCCCACCTGTCAGTTTCCCTGCCCGTCCTGGCTTCTCCCCCAAGGATCCTCTTTCACCCCAGTCTCCTCCTAGCTGCAAGCTAATGAACCTGACACTTCTCTCTTTTTGTTCTTTGATCTCTGTTTGACAGAGATTGCAGGTCATTGGGAGAAGGAGGGAAAAGAGCTCAAAGCCACCTTAACAATAGACTGACTTTCTATAGAAAAAAAAGGGGGAGGGGGGAGGAGAAAAAAAATCACCGCCTCAGGCTGTGGGTGCAGACAAGTTAAGGAAAGGTGGAGAGAGAGGAGCTTTTGACAGCGGTGAGATATCCTGCCCTGCAGGATGAAATAGCTGCATTTGCGCATTAGGAATGAAGGGAACTGTTGAAAAGGGCCAGTCAGAATTGTTTTCTGGGGGGGGGGGGGGGGGGGGGAAACAGCGCCTCTGGTCAAAAGGGATGCCATTCTCACCTTCATCTTCTCAAGATTTTTGTCTTTGACCTCTTTGTTGCCTGCTGTCAGTTTCTATAATCCCAATGCTTTTTCTTCCATGACAAAAAGAAGTCATACCTCAGAGTACCTTTGAAGATTCTTCCCTTTAAGTAGGTGCTTCACAAACACTCCTGCATATTGTTATAGTTTTGCCTTGGGTTAGCCACACAAGCAGAGAGCCACAGGCGAGACCCTGAGACGCTCAGAGGCTCTCCCCCCTCCACCCCATCCTCTTCTTTCTTCGAGCAACATCATTTTACCAAAAAGCACCACCAGTCGCTTCCTGTGTTTTCACTTCCCAAAAGTGTAGGTTTCACACATCGCCATATTCGTGTGTGTCTCTAAGAAAATTAAGAGAGAGAGAGAAAAACCCTCCAAAGTGGTAGGGAAAAGTAGCAACAAATGAAAAACGTTTGATGAAATGTGAGGGGAAACAGAACCATAAAAACCATATAAAAAAAGACAACAAACTTCAGTTGTAGTAATCAATGTCTTTGTGTAACAGTTGTTTATATATTTCATCCTTGGGTCAATAAAAACGTAAGACCAAAAAAAAAAAACTTTGTGAAACGCATCTACATTTTAGGGTGAATTTTGGGGGCAGGAATTCGCTGGCATGGAATATCCCCAAGCCTTCGCACTAGTTATCCAGGTGTCATTTTCAGACTTAAAACTGAGAATATTAGAAGAGCTTGAGACTTTTTTTGCTGCCTCTCCCTGAATTCTTTCCTCCTTTCTTTTCTTTTTTTTTTTCACCTAGTAACTCGTCCGGACCTGGGATGTCGAGAGCTGGTAACCAGAAACATCTTCAAAATACTTCCCGGCCTCTGCCACGATATCACCGACTGGGTCAAAGGCACCCGAGTGAAGGCATCTCAGCTCCTGTTTATACTGTTACAGCATGCGGAGGATCACATCACGCAACACATGGAACTCCTCCTGCGGACGTTGTACCGCGTGTGCTCTGATGAAGAAAGTAGCGTGGTTAGCAACGTAAGTGTGCTCCTTTCAAAAACCCTGCTGGGGAAAGGAGGTCCTGCTAACCTAAAGTTGACAGAGATTTGATCTAGCGAGACTATTTGGTCTGGTGGTTAAGGCACCAGGTCAGAAACCAGGCGACTGTGAATTCTAGACACAAGCATGAAAACCGGCTGAGTGACTTTGGGCCAGCTACCAGGAGACACTGAGTTCTAGTCCTATCTTAGACATGAAAGCCAGCTGGGTGATTTTG